AAAAAAAAAAAAAAAAAAAAAAAAAAAAAAAAAAAAATTAAAAATTATCAATGAAATTGACAAACCTCTAGCTAGACTAAGGAAAAAAGAGAAAAGACTGAAATAACTAAAATCAGAAGTGAACGTAGGGACATTATTACAGACCTTACAGAAATCAAAAGGATTATAAAAGAATACTATGAACAATTGTATGCAAACAAACTAGACAAGCTAAATAAAATGGACAAATACCTAGAAATACATAAACTACCAAAACTGACTTAAGAAGAAATAGAAAATATGAATAGACCTACAACAAGCAGAAGTTGAAGGGAACCCATTCTATGAGGCCAGCATTACCTTGACACCAAAGCCAGAAAAAGGCATCAGAAGAAAACTATAAATCAACATCCCTTATAAATACAGACAAAAAATGTTCAACAAAATATTAGCAATTATACACTCTGACAAAGTGGGATTTATCTCGGAATATAAGGGAGGTTCAACATATAAAAGTCAGTCAGTGTAACATACCACATTAATAGGATGAAAAGGGAAATATAATTTCATTTGATGGAGAAAAGCACTTGACTAACACCTTTTCATGATAAAAATATACAGCAAACTAGGAATAGAAGCAAGCTTTCTCAACATGTAAAAGGATACTTACGAAAAACCCACAGCTAATATCACACCCAATAGAAAACAGAAAGCTTTCTTCCTATGATCAAGAACAAGACAAAGATGCCCTCTTTCTATTCAACACTGTACTAGAAATTCTAGCCAGAACAATTAGGGAAGAAAAAGAAATAAAAGGCATCCAGTTGGACAGAAAGAACTAAAATTCTCTCTATTTGCACATAATATGCAGACAAACCTAAACACAAAAACTATTAGGGCTAACAAATGAGTTCAACAAGGTTTCAGGATGCAATATCAATATAAAGAACTCAGTTGTATTTCTATACACTAGCAGTGAATAACCCAAAAAATGAAATTGAGAAAACAGTTCTGTTTGCAATAACATCAAAAAGAATAAAATATTTAGGAATGAATTTAACCAACAGGGAACAAGACTTGTACACAGAGAACTATAAAACACTGATGAAATTAAAGAAGTCCCCAAAATTGGAAAGACATCTCATGTTTATAGAAGACTTAACACAGTTAAAATGGCAATGCCCTCGGAAGTGATTTATAGATTCAATGCACTCCCTATCAACATCGTAACAGCCATTTTTGAAGAAATGTCCTTTGTCATGTTGAAAAGGCTTGCTTAAGACATATCTGGTCTAATATCCATAACATATAAAACTCTTATAACTTAACAATGATAAAGACAACTCAATTTTTAAAATGAAAAAAGGACTTAAATAATCATTTCTCCAAAGAAAATACACAAATGGCCAAAAAGGACATGAAAAGATATTCAATGTCATTACTCATTAGGAAATGCAAATCAAAACCACAGCCAGATACCACATCACATCCACTGGTATGGCTATAATCTCAAAAACAGAAAATAACAAATATTAGTGAGGATGTGGAGAAACTGGAACCCCTATACATTGTTGATGGCCATGTAAAATGGTGCAGCTGCTATGGGAAACAGTTTGACACAAAATAAGTTAAACACAGAATTATACCATACAGCCTACCAATTCCATTCCTAGGTATACCCAAAGAACTGAAGATAGGTGTCCAATAACAACTTTCCCATGAACATTCATAGCAGCACAATTCACAACAGACAAAAGGTGGAAACGGGCCAGGCACAGCGGCTCATCCATGAAACCAAGGCAGGATTGCTAAGGACAAAAGTTTGAGATCAACATGGGCAACACTGTATCAAAAAAATAAATTTTAAAAATAAAATTTTTAGAAAAAGGTGGAAACAAAAAAAATGTACATCAACTCATGACTGGAAAAAAATTTCAGAGGAAAACAAAATGTGGTGTATCATTGGAATATATTCACTAGTATGCAATAAATGTTACTCAGCCATAAAAAGGAATGGAGGACTGATACAAACTCCAACCTGGATGAACCTCAAAAACATTATGCTAAGTGAAAGGAAGCCCAACAAAAAAGGCCACATATCACATGACTCCATTTATACAAAATATCCAGAATATGCAAATCTATAAAAACAGAAAATAGATTAGTGTTTGCCAGGGACTGGTGGTATGGGGGCTGGGATAACTACTTAATTGGTATAGGCTGTATTTTTGGGATGATGAGAACGTTCTGGAACTAGACAGTGGTGATAGCTGCACAATACTGTGAATATACTAAACAACAATGACTCGTACACTCTAAAATGGTTAAAATGTGTAAATTTTCTTATGCACATTTTGCCACAATAAAAAAATAAACACATGCACACATGATTCTGGAAAAAAAAATTCAGAGGAAAAACATAAGCAGAAAACAATTTAAGAAATTATAATATTTGAGTACAACAACTCCACCGATTTTACTCACGGCCAAGGCTCTTTCCCTATATATATGTCATATCAATTTTTTCAAGACCAGGATGTCCAGGCCATGCCCAGCTCCATCCCCTGTGGGAGAAGTTATACCCACCTCCGATTACTTTCATATTGTTGTCCTTTGTCAGAATAGCCTCAGCATGGAATACCAAAACTGGAATTCTCCTGCAGCCTCCAGTCCACATGATACATGGATGATCCCTATAACCACAACAAAAGCCTTCATTAATTTACAGCTCAAAATCTGAACTGCTGATGTAGATTACTATGGTTTGTTGCTTTGCAAGTTTTCCCTTACTTCTGGAATAAAAAAATCCCAAATATCTGGTGGGAAATCATATCTCCCATTCTTAGCTGTGTATTTAAAATTAACTCTATCCCTGGTCCAGGGATGGGCCTTGATTGGTTTCAGCCAATCAAGGTATTTCATCATTCAATATAGTTATTGGTTCAGAGATAGGCACATAAACCAACTGGAGCCCATGAGTTTAAGGAGACATGTTCTGAGACTGTGAGAAAGCAATGGCTTCTTTCTCTTCTCTAGTGGCTACAGAGCCTGTCTTCCTTTTTATGGTACAGGAGGAGAATGAGAAGTATGGAACTGCAACAACCATTTTGTGACCTTGAAGGGAGGGCCTTAGCTGTTGGTGAGGGAGAAAGTCAGCAGGAGCCTGACTGAAGAGATCGAGATCCTGGGTGTTAAAGCGGGAGTTTCAGAATCAAGACGTGCCTAAATATGAGTGAACATATTCTCTTTATTACCTAGGACCACTGGATTATGTTTTAATTCTTTGTGCACACAAAGAATCCTAACTGAGTTCACAATAATTTACATACCCCTTTTACACTCTATAGTACATTTTCAAGCCAACTGGATGATGCATCCTAAGATTCTGAGCTAGGAACTCTAAATTAATACAAGTATCCCAATTAAAATCATGTATTTTGGCCAAGTGCAGTGAGCCACGCCTGTAATCCCAGCACTCTGGGAGGCCGAGGAGGGTGGATCATCTGAGACCAGGAGTTTATGACCAGCCTGGCCAACATGGTGAAACCTCGTCCCTACTAAAAATACAAAAAATTAGCCACATGGGGTGGTAGGCGCCTATAATCCCAGCTACTTGAGAGGCTGAGGCAGAAGAATCAATTGAACCTGGGAGGCAGAGGTTGTGGTAAGCCGAGATCGTGCCATTGCACTCCAGCCTGGGCAACAAAAGTGTAACTCTGTCCCAAAAAATAAATAAATAAAATAAAATAACACAATTTAAAGAAAGCCCATGCTAATTGGAACAATATATATTTTCCTCCAGTATAAAACCACAGGAGAGAAAGAGACTTCTGACTTTATTCTCTTTCCCTATCCTCAGGAAATCTCAGCTTAATTTTAGGCTGATAGATATTTACTCAAAGATTAGGAAAATCTTCACCCTCATTAGGGCAGGGAGGTAGGAAGAGAAAGAAAATTAAATGAACTGAATCCCTACTATGTGCCAGGATTTACACTAAGAGCTTTCACATCTCACTTAATCGCCTTGCTCATACTACAAACTAAAGAAAAACTGTCTCAGAAAGGTTAAGTAACCTGCCTAAGGTCATACAGCTGGTTAAATAAGGGATGAGGTATTTGAACCCAACATCTGTATTCTTTCTACTGTTTGCCTCCTTAATGGCATTTCAGCAAAGTTCTATATATTGAATACCTTGGATTCAATTCTTTGAGAACTTAAACTAACCAATTCCTTAAATGCAATACAATCCATTTGGCCAAGATTCATTCAATTCTTAAAAACTCACATAATCACATCCCTTAACAAGGGCCACACCACAAATCTCATGGCCAAGTCCCTCCCAATCCAACTTTAAAAAGATCCACACTCTGAATGCGCAGTCTTTCAGGCTCCCAATCCTACGAGTGAAGCAGTCTTTCGACTTTAGCAAGCTGCCAACTGCTTTTTAGTGAAGAACACAAACAACACCATACCTAGTTCATTCCCTGTTTTCTAGAAATGGCATGTAGATGCTTATTGTTCTTGTTCTTCAACTTGGTGACAGTACCCACTTGTGAGAAATGCTGTTGATAGGGTACCTTTTTTAGCAAGAAGGATTTTTTTGTGGCTTGCTTGCTTCTTCAACACCTGTAAAATGTAGGCATGAAGCCAGCCGATTCCTATGATCTCTTCCAACATTAATTTTTCCACTATATTTCTAAATCAGCAAGTACAGAAAAAACAGGCAGCCTACAAAGTCTTGGACAGGAACTCTGGAAATTATCCAAAGTTCTCTGTCAATCTAGCACTAGCTACCAACTGGCACCACTATGCCTTAGCATTTACAAACAATGGACTGCTGCTCCAACTTAAAAATGCCTGACAGGAGGAACACAATAAACAGATACACAGCTGAGAAGAGCCCAGGCCCTAACTGTACTATCTGTGGAAAGACAAGTCTCCAACAGAGAAATCTTTCACTTACAACCTGTGGAAAGATAAAAGAGGGAGTAAACAATAAGGTCAGATAAATAATACTTAAGACATACGTGAAACTGTCATGAAAAACATGCTCCCACCAAGTGGTGCTAAAAGGAAAAACATTCAGAATGATTAGGAAACTGAAAATTGGGACTTTAAATTTTCATACACATCAGAAACTGGTATATATTAAAATCTACTTTTATAAGCATGAAAGAACAAAGAATTTGAACAATTAATTGCCAAAGTAAATCAGTTTTGTGCTTTGCTTTATTGAAAGCCTAAAAACATTTTGGTTTTCCAGGAATAATTTTATGAGAAATAGACATCATTCACTCCTGGGACTCAGCCTACATAACTCAAAGACGGAACTGTGAGCAGCTTTTGCATTCTTGCTTCTAGGCCGTCTTCATACCATCACCCCATTAGAAATGCCTTCCCCACTTCTCTCTGTTCATCTAAGCCCACTCTCCAAGGCCCACCCAAAGTCTCACCACCTGCAGGCAGCCTTCCCCAGCTCCTTCAGCCCATTATGATACCTTCTTCTCTGAACTCCCATAGCACCCACTTTATAACTGATTGTTGATCTTTTTAACTGATATAAAGCCAACCTTTTACAACAGCAATTAAAGTTGACATTTTTTCATTGACCAAAGAAATCTTACATTACATTCTTATATGAAAGTTTCTATATCTATATACAAAGTGGTATTAGGGATCCCCAAGCAAAATATAGAAAAATAGCCTCTTTACATTTTCTATTTGAAATAATGCCATGCAAAACAAGGACTGCCTGGACAGTTTCTATTCCTGAAGTCCAAATTGCAAGAAATTAATACTTTAACACAGCAGAGGGATCTGAGCAGATCTAACAGATGTCCATGGATACACATCTTTGGATCAAGTCAACATCTTCAGATGATTTAAGGCCTTCAAACTTCCAAATCAACTTTTAAAATGTAAGCCTGCTCCAGGTGTGAATAAGATTGATTTAAGCTTCCTAATCCAAAAAATAAGTGTCTGATAGACAAGACATAAGCTGATGAAACAAGATTAACAGTTAAAAATCAACAGGAGTTTGAAAGGAAGAAGAGGTCCATAAATTTGGATGGGAGCAGAGAGAAAATTATACCTTTATTTTCATTAATTTTTACCAGAAATTCAGTATTTCTTAATTATGAATACAGGCAACAAACCATAGTAGTACTGGCATTATATGCGCCTTTGATGTTATCTAAAATGACAGCTTTTTTGGTGGTTTTGGTTTTTTTTTTTTTTTTTTTTTTTTTCTCTCTCTGTTTGATTGAAAAAGTTATGCTTCTCCTGGGCAGTGTGCTTTTTTTTGAAACAGAGTCTCACTCTGTCAACCAGGCTGGAGTGCAGTGGTGCGATCTCGGCTCACTGCAACCTCTGCCTCCTGGATTCAACCAATTCTCTTGCCTCAGCCTCTTGAGTGGCCGGGATGACAGGTGCTCGCCACCACATCCGGCTAATTTTTGTATTTTTAGTAGAGTCGGGGTTTTGCCATGTTGGCCAGGTTGGCCTTGAACTCTCGACCACAAGTGATCTGCCCACCTCAGCCTCCCAAAGTGCTGGGATTACAGGCATGAACCACTGTGCCCGGTCAATTACAGATATTTTTATATCTTATTACAGGTGTTGCAGATATCTCAAAATATCATTTACACTTAACACCACTTCTAAGTTATAGTAGTTTTTAAGACTCACTCCCTAGATCACATGTGACCATGGTCTTTCTATCTAAATGCTAGTGTGATGAGGCTGGACAATAATCGGGCAACTCTCCTCCTAAAAATCATTCAGTCACTAAAAGATGACACTTCATACTGGTGCCCCAGACATCTACGCTGCTTCCCAGTACTCCCCATCTATGATGGTTAATCAAAGACCACCATCTCAGTGTACTGATCCTATACAAACAACAAAAACAGTCTTCATGCTGTTGTCTTTAGCGTGAAGACAACACGCTAAAGTTAAAACAAAATTTAACTTTCCCAGATTTTAAATGATCTTATTATTTAATGCATTAGTAAAACAGCACATATTACTATATTACAAATTTGTTTTAATAACTGCATTTGAATGTAATTAGTACTCTTTGTAATGATATGTATTTTATTTTAAGCCTTAGAAATATTCTGGTAAGGAATCCATGGCATAAAAAGGGTTAACAACTCTGATCTAAGGTAATATAAAGTATAAAGCCTTCATTTATTCATTCATTTCATTATTCTGTCGGCAAGAATTTACTAAGTTCCAACTATAATATTAGGTCAAACTATTTCCAATTGTCAGTATTTGACTGTTTCTGACCTACCAAAATGGCAGTTTCATATAGTTCAATTTAACATTTGTCAGGCCCAATCTGTAAGCCCACTAATAAAAGAGACAGTAATGGAGTAAAAGAACAACCTTTAAAAAGGGAAAGACTGATACTTGCAGCAGAAATTTGAAGCTTTGTGAAATGGGTAAGAGGCAGCACACTAAAAGCAAAAAGTCAGAAGAAGGGAAAGTAACCAAAGGGAATTATCCATTTAATTATCCCGAACAAGAATGACCCAAATATACTGTCAAATCTCTATTATTTTCTGTGACCTAACAGTGATAAGAAATATTTCCTCAAAGCTTTCTTAATGCTTTAAAAATTTTTTTCAAATTACAGTAAGTACTCTTCTACCTTATAAGGCCACCACAAATTTCATTATTAAAACCAATAAAAATAATGCCTCATATTTGTATAGCACTTACAAAGTAATTTCACACACATTATTCCATTTGAGTTTCACCAGACCCCTACAAAATACCGTGGGAGATATTACCTCTCTTTTTCAGATTACACAGCACACATGTATCCAAAAGGAATCATGGAGAATCTTAAATTTTACCTTTAAACCAGATTCTCTCTTTACTCTGTCAAGTAATAATTAAAGGAGGCAAAAAAGCAAAGTGACCAAAATCCAGAAAAGCTAAGTCTGAATCTCAATGCATCAACTACTCTCTATGGGTCACTGGGGAAATCTCCGGATATTTATGACTGAATTTAAAAAGTGAAAATAGTAACACCTTCAGATTTAAAAAGATATAAGATACAGATGAGACAAAGCCTTTACTGTCATTTATAGTAGCTATACTTACCATTATCACTCTTTTTTTTTTTTGAGACTTGCTGTCCAGGCTAGAGCGCAATGGTGCGATTTCAGCTCACTGCAACCTCCGCCTCCCAGGGTTAAGCGAGTCTCCTGCCTCAGCCTCCCAAATAGCCAAGATTACAGGCACCTGTCACCACTCCCAGCTAATTTTTGTATTTTTAATAGAGATGGGGTTTCGCCATGTTGGCCAGGCTGGTCTCAAACTCCTGACCTGAGGTGATCCACCCGTCTCGGCCACCCAAAGTGCTGGGTTTCAGGTGTGAGCCACCACGCCCAGCCATTATCATTCATTTTTATTGTGATGATCCAATAATCATGAAATTGGAATCTTAACTAAAAGAACTCAGGAAAGCAATGCGGTTCAATGGACACAGTACAGGCTACAGAATTCTAATACCTTGTCTCAGAGTTACTATGGTAAGTTACCTGACATCTCTATATTAACACCATTTTATCATTGTAAAGGCTTTTGAGAAAATCAGCAAATGTAACTAATGCCATAGAGTTTCGGCATGTTTTTCTTCAATATTGAAACATTTCAAAATCTCCTAAATTGGGAGCTCTGAGCAACAGTTCACCAAGAGCCACTACCTGCATTTGACAACATCTAGAGCTGGTGTTCACTTATGAGCCCAGAAAGAGAGCCTTATCTTATTTCTCATAACTGATAGGGACTGAATAATAAGACTTTAAATTACATTACGAATAGAAGCTAAAACCAGAGTTAGATAGTACCCAAGGAATGACACTAGACAAAAGAATATATAAGTAAAAGAGAACTATTTTTCATCCTAAAAGCACAGGTCAAAAGCAGGCTTGCTGTTACTTACTCTTGACTTATGACCTCCTCATCCTCTGAGGATGATGCTGTTTCCTCCAGGTCCCGGGCCATCACGATTGGCATTTCCTTTAGGGCTTGTCATACAGTCAGCAGACAGGGGCCTCAGAGACCTTTCCTAGAAGATTCACCGGATCAAGCAATTTGGATGGCACAGATTCCTGCAAGAAATTAACTTGATCTGATCAATTGACCTGAAACACAATGCCGTTGTCTATTGGTTATTGCTGATCATCTAAGTAATGAGGATGACTATATTCCTAAATAGTGCCCAACCTCTAGAAGTTTACCTTCCATCACAATGCCTCACTATGCCACAAAAATCAAGATTTTTTTTTGAACATACTGTCTGTGTGCTACATATTTGAATAGCTGTTACTAAGTATGAGTTTCTCATTATTGACTAAATCTAATATGCACCAAAAAGATAGATTCTTCACTTTCAGGGCAGTCTGCGGTAGGTGGCTGATTCCCTAAAATATATATTCCTTGCTAGACAAACCTGACCTGGGTTAAAAACAAATAAATAAAAACTCAAGGTTTAAGACCCTTGCAAACATTTATTTAGACTTTATGACAAGCACGCTGACAAGATGCTATCACGTTTCCAGTAAAATAAATTCAACAATGAACCGAAAGAAGAATATATTCTCCTGAATCAAAGGTCATATAAATAGTTGGTGGGGGAGGGGACAATGCCCTTCCACTCTTAAAAATTATTCTTCCTTACTAAAAATCACGAACTTTGATATGACTCTGGAATGGGCAATAAAATTAGGAAATTTCCAACACTATATTTCTAACTTAAAATATTTTTTTCCAAAGGAAAAAAAGTACACGTTCGTTGTGTGTGTCAGAAGAAACAGGAGCTACAAATAAAGAAAATGAACATGTTTAAATGACCATAATCCCATTACTCAGAGATAATGACTTGGTGTCAATCCTTCTTAACTTTTTCATGCATTCATAAATACGATGAGACTGTAAATAAGACACACACACACACACACACACACACCCCGACCCTGATAATGATCCCTACAGATCTTCGGCGCAGTGGGCAATGTCTAACAACTTCAATGGCTTTCTTCGGGGGATTCTCAGCGGGATCACACACACACCGACCCTGATAATGATCCATACAGATCTTCGGCGCAGTGGGCAATGTCTAACAACTTCAATGGCTTTCTTCGGGGGATTCTCAGCGGGATTTCTCAATCTTTCCCAAAATGTTGGGAAATCCTTTAAGTTTAAACAAACAAAACCTCCAAAAGGGAAGGAATGCCAACCTTTCCTAGGCTGCCGGCAGAGCGGGGAGAAATAGGTCGATCGGAAGAAGATTAGAGACACTCGCCTAAGCAGACTTCTCGCCCTAAAGGAATCTGCTTCTCAGCCCCACCCCCAGCTCACCCCAGTCGCAGGTAGGTCTGCTGATGCTCTCCCCGGGAAGGACAGGACGACCCCGCCGCCGCGATTCAACGCTGCGTGCCCGGAAGCCAATAACTACTCCCGGGCTCTGAGCGGGAAGTGCGGCGGCCAGCGCCAGCCCGGACCCGGGAAGGCTCCTCCCCGGGGTAGGGAAGCGCGCCGGCGCAGGCGTTTACCTGTCTCATCTTCCCATGGTTCAAGCGGGCAGGCGTGGACCACACTCTGCTCCTACCTCTCTCTTCTTTCCCCAGCAGGGCTCCGGGCAGCCGCCGACTGCTGCTTCCCCGGTTACTACAACAACCAACAAGCAACCGCCCGCTCGGAGCCACTGCGCAGGCGCCCGCCACCCGGCGCTGACAACGCGCGGCTGCAGGCGCGGGCGAATGTCGTCACCGCCGCGCACGCGGGCGCAGAGCCCTGCCCTCAGCAGAAGGGAGTCTTCTTTTTTTCCGCTGTTTTTTTCTCCGCCCCTAAGAGGTTGACTCCAAACCCGGAGTTCCGCTAGGTCCAACAGGAGGGCTTACTGCGTGAGCGGCGTACCTGAGGAGAGGCTTAGGCAGCGGCAACTGCTGATTGGCAGTAAAGGGGTTCACTCCCTATCTCCTGCTTGGGCAAAACCGGGACAGCCAATCACAGAGAGGACTGACGGAAACGACCCAATCCTGGAGCAGGGCTGAGAGAGGGGGCGGGGACAAATGGCTCAGGTGGACTCCCGGCTGGAGCTGTCCTGGGGGAGCTTGTTTGCGGCGGCTGCTGCTGCCACGCCTGTACTGGGGGTCCGGTCGCCAGGTAAGGAGAATATGGAGGATTAAAGGGATGTAGGTGTCTGTGTGGCTTCTGATTGAGAGGATCCGGAAAGTCTGGAAAAATGGAGGTGGGATGGAAGGAAGATACCTGGAAGGCAACCTTTTGGGGGGAAAGGGTTCGAGAGGCGATAACGAGGGGGAGCTAGGACGATGGAGAAGGTTTAGTGAATTCAAGGAACGAAGGAATGGATGAGCGAATGAGCAGCCACTATGAGCCTGGCACTGAACAAAGAGCCTTCACTTTTTCTCATATAATTCTTACAATAATCCTTGTTAAGAAATATCAATGGGTTGATATTTCTATCTCCATTTTGCAGATGAGGAAACCGAGAATGAAAAGTGTAAGTGACTTGCCCAGGGTCACACAGCTACTAAGTGGTAGGGCCAGGATAAGAATCCCTTTCTTCTGATTAAATTTTAACACCACACCTATGCTGGGCTGGGCTGGGCCGGGCCAGGGCCAGGACAAAATTTGGAAATAGATGTTGTATATATGCTAGGAGGTCCTAAAGCTTTAGGGAAATTAGGTTGAGAAATTGGCAGAGCAATTCAGAAGTGCGCAGACTCTGTCCTTATCAGCTATCTGTTGGAATTTCTAAGAGCTTCTGTGAAATGGAAGGATACATTTTGCAGAAAAGTGGAGAGGGGCATCCGTGCATCTTTTCTAAACCCTGGAGGAGTCTCGTCTTGAAAGAGGGTGAGAAAATAAAGACGGTAGGTGGATTTTGGCCCAAGTGATAATGGCCTATAATGTCCAGTAGACCCTCAGTCTCTGTGGTCTTGGACAGAGCCCACCTTTGTGATCCAGCTCTCCCTGAAGGGTGCATCAATTCACCCTTCCTTCTCTAGATCTCTTGTTTGTTTGTTTGTTTGTTTGGGGTTTTTTTTGTGTTTCACACTGTCTTGGGCCATCACTGACTTTAGTATCTATCTCACTGGGTAGCGTAGAACAATACTGAAACTTACGTTGCCTGACAACAGATAAACCATGGGCCAAGAAGATAATGAGGATGGGAAAAAGTCATCCCATTATTAAATTATTTATCTATTTTGGTTTTATTTAAATCAGACTGACTGAAATCACTACTCAACAAGAGTTGATCTAAGCCTTTAAAAAAAAAAAAAAAGAGGGTGCAGTGGCTCACACCTGTAATCCCAGCACTTTGGGAGGCCAAGGTGAGTGGTTGACTTGAGTCCAAGAGTTCAAGACCAGCCTGGGCAATGTGGCAAAACCTCATCTCTACAAAAAAATACAAAATTAGCCAGATGTTGTAGCACATGCATATAGTCTGAGCTACTAGAGAGGTTGAGGTGGGAGGATCACTGAAGCCTGGGATGTCGAAGCTGCAATGAGCCATGACCATACCACTGCACTCCAGTGTGGGTGACAGAGTAAGATCCCATCTCAAAAAAATAAAAAAATAAAAAACAAAAAGTATCTAATTGTATTTTCTACATAACTTGAAGACAAAAGTGGATATGGTATGCTTTTCTTTCTCAAAAATGGGAACTTCATTAAAATAGTCTCAAACAGTGAGGTAGCATTGCAAGAGTCCAACAGACCATGATTCTTAGCTCTGCCAACTTTGCTGCGTGACCTTAAGAAACTCATTTAACCTTTCTGTTCCAACCATCATCTGTAGGGTAGAAATATTAATAGAGCCTGTCAGCCTTCCTGTAAGGATTAAATGGTAATATACGGTAGGTGCTTGGCATAGTTCATGGTGTAAGTGCTTGATGACTGAAACCTATTATTCTTTTGCAAGCCAACACCAGAATTGCTATTTCCTTTGCTATATAATTTTCTTACTAGTCCTAAAGTCACACGTTAACTTAAAACACACAATTTATAAATCTGGAAAAGGAAAAGAGGCTTTATCTCTTGCAAAGGCTCATAGCCATCCCACAGGGAAGAATGCCTCCCACCAAGACCAGAGACAGGTACTTTGAAGGAGAAGGGTTTGGGGTAGAGCTTTATGCTGGACAGGTTGGCTAAACATACATATTCAACAGGTTCCAGGAGGAGCTATGAATATTCATGAAGGTGGTCCTGATACGTGCATATTGAACAAACATGCATGTAACCACATATGACCCTTGTTCACTTTGGAGTGGAGCCCTCCCATTGAAGTCAATTACAGCTAGGTGCTGTAGGTCAAGAAGTCTTTTCAGGACACCAAGACACTCAAGTGTGTGATCTTGGTAAACTGGCCAGGAGCAGTCCACAGTCAGTGATCTTATCTGAAGAAAGTTACTGAAATCCGTCACTTGTCCAATCAAAGCTGTAGTCACAACAGGTGGAACAGGGGTCAGGTAGTCAGCCTTTGTGAGCTGGATGAGCCACAGTTGTCTTAATATTGCTTATCTCAAGGCCAGTGCTTGTCTAAATGCTTTAGAAAAAAACCTGGTGGCAGAATATAAGTTGTATTCTTTAAGTGTCGGAGTGTGTGACTTAACCCTTGCCTGGCATGGCCTTAGGTCTTGTTTATAATTTGGTAACATTTTGCACAAAGAATCTGTTGTAAGTCTTATGATCTGTATGTTAACTTAAATGCTGGTAAGTTGCTGTCCCTAAATCTGAAAAGGGAAAGAATATAACAGGGCATGTTAGATCTCCCATCTCATCATGGCCAGGACCTTAGTTTTAGGATTTTTCTGGGGTCCCCTAGGCCAAGAGGGGCTCTTTTCAGTCCGTGGTAGGCTTAGGATTTTATTTTGAGTTGACACACAGCAGTTTATTTATGTTTAACTTTTAGATTGTTTTTCTAGTTTACGGAGCATGGTATACCTGAGAAGCAGAGTCTAGAAAACCTAGGGATGTACATAGTGACCTCACCCCATAAGTTCCACTCAAATGTATAAAGCTCTATAGGCTTGGAAGAAATCCGTTATCAATAGCCAGGCAGGTGTCTGTGCGTATAGTTAGAATCACCTTTGAGCTACTTGTATTTCAAAGGAGTGGCATGAAAACATGAAGGTATAGAAGTGAAGATAGAGGACTGATTCCAACCCAGAGGAGGAGTTCTGATTTAGGGTAATATTTTGGAGAAATTGCTTAGACAGAGATAAGTACTGTGCGACTTATTGCGAAGTATACTGTTCATTCACCTCTATTAGTGTGAATAAATATCTTTTCTTGGCCTGCTTCATTCTTCCTCCCTTCCTACTTATGGTTAACATAGACTGGCCCTCATTATCTCATGCCCTCTGCCTTTGTTTCCAAGGCAAAAAGCCCTCCCAGGTTTGAGGGGAGTCATGAGCCGTTTCCTGAATGTGTTAAGAAGCTGGCTGGTTATGGTGTCCATCATAGCCATGGGGAACACGCTGCAGAGCTTCCGAGACCACACCTTTCTCTATGAAAAGCTCTACACTGGCAAGCCAAACCTTGGTAAGAAATAAAAGAATTTCTGCATCCTTTGTAGGACTGGCCCTATGCTGTGGTTCCCAAACCAGGCTGTATATCAGAATAACCTAGGAAACTTCAACAAACACAGGTACCCATTTCCCTCACCAAACCTATTTATTGAACCTGGATGGAGCTCAGGAATCCAGTTGCTAAAAGCTTCCCAGATGATTCCGATGCTGCCTTAGTTAGCCTTTGGCAGTCACTGGAGTAATAGACTTTGTGGTGAGAACTTGACCCTTTTTCCTCCAGGCTTCTCTGAATACTTTTCATTCATTTTACACTGCCCTGGGCAATTTTGCATATTAAAAAAAAAAAAAAAGGCATTATAAGGGCAAGTGAGGAAATAGACTTATATGGTGACTCTGTGTTGCCTCACTAGAAAGCCATAAAGAAGCTTTTCCTATTTCTCAACGCCCTCTTCAGAATGAGGCTGGGGCTTACATGATTCATATTCCATGTTACAGATGGAAAGTTCTTAATCCAAGGTCTTCCCATGACATAGTCCCTGAGAAGATATTTAAAATCCCTTCAAGTTGGTCTCCAAAAATGAAACTTAAGAAGGCCCATGGCGGCCTTTCCTGGCTTCCTGAGCCTCTCTGCTGAGAGTGTGTGTCCATTTCAGCTTGCACTTCATCACGCTGATGTGTGGGGTAGTTTAAGCTGCAGCACTGTTTCACAGCAGATGACAATTCTGTGTCACATTTATAGCTAACCCAGATTCAGGCTCTGACCTAGCTCGTTTTTCTGCAGTGTCTGGGTATAAAATGAAATTAAGTAGGCTAAGGCTCATTTTAAGAAAAGCTCAAATATAATAAGAGTAAAGAACCTGGGAAAGAGAGCAGAATAATTCCATCTTTTCACCTTCAAAGGCTGCCCTCAGATGATCATGGAACCCTATATGGATTCACAGATTTTTAGAGGTTATCTTTTCTAGCCCTTTGAGTTTCAAGTTGAGGCAAAGAAGTCTAGAGGTCATGTGACTTAGGCATATAGCTGAGCGGAACTTTGTGTGTGTATGTGTTCATCCAGCACACAAATGGAGGCTGCCATCTCCTTTATGATCTAGTGGCCATCATGGTACTCTCCTAAACACAGCAGTGCTTTAAAGGGTCCCACAGAATT